AACGAGAACCCAACGCAGGAGGGTTGAGAATAATATCTGCTACCACGATGAGTATTACTACTTCCCGGCAATTGGGTGATGCTCTGGTCCGCTTTCTTGGAACCTGTGCGGTCTCCTTAAAGGTAATGATCTTGTTTGTCGGCTCCTCCATGGACCACACACAACTACGTTTAACACAAGCGAAGTCTCCTGGCCACTGCTCATTTCCCCGGTCGACCAGGGAAACCCCCATTTAACCGGTGTTTACACCATCGAACCAGGGAATAGAGCACTGCCGTGCTCGAGGGAGCGCTTGCGCAACTGGTCAAGCTCGTCACGATGTGCATCACCAAACCCACTGTCAGCAACGTCCGACTGGCCATCGTCTATGGGCGCCTCGATAGTCTGCTGCATCTGCTTGACCGCCTCCCAGTACTCGAACCGTTCTCCACTGCCAGCACACCAGGCACGGTGCTCACCGACGGACATCTGCACGAGGTTGAGAGGGCGAATCCGCACGGTCGGCGCTGGTCGGTGCGCGGCAGCCTGAGGGAGGACCACCAGTAGCAGCAGCACCTGGAGGACCCGCAGGACCTCCCGCAGCAGGAGGTATAGCAGCTCCAGCACGCGCCCGACGCTCTTGATCTTCACGATTAGCATTGACCTCTGCAACCTCCTGACTCTCGAACGAGACTGGGTGGAAATGTGTTCGTCTCCTGCTCAGCTTGGCGGGTGAGCGCCTTGGCCTGGGCCTAGACCGACTGCACGTGGTTGCGATCCTTCTCCTCCAAGACGACTTTCGCTTTGTTGTACTGTTCGAGCCTCCACTGCAACTCCTGCACAGCGAGGCGTTCATTCTTGTTTGCGTACTCGACCGTCTTGGCCAAGGTGGTCTGTTCAGAAGATACGAGCCTGTCCAACTCCTGGTCCGTGTAATCAGCCACGGTCTCGGGTGCTGGCGCCGAAGCCTGCTCCACAACTCCTGCCAACTGATGGCAATATTGTGTCCAGGCATGCAGCGCTCCAAGGAGATCAGGTGGCATGGGCGCCGCTGCACCGCCCTATGCCACTGGTGGTGCCGCAGCAGCACCACCTCCTTTGTCACCACCTGGCCCCTGAGGCACTTCATCATAGTATGGGCACGAGCACTTGCTGCAATGCTGATGTCCATGTCGACAGTACTGCCAATGGCCGCATGAGTTGCACGCACGGTAGGAAGTATCATTGTTATTATCTGGTTTGTCAGGCGTCCGCTGCCATGTCCCACCACCAGAGCCATTACCCCAAGGAGCATGACGCCGCAAGCCCATGATGGGAGCACAGTTGCCGTGGTGCTCGACGAGCAGCTGCACGTTGCGCACACGGCGCAGTCGTCCCCTCGCCGCTGACCTGCACCGCCGCAGGCGGCGATGCCAGGCGGGGAAGCGCGCACGGGCCGTGGCGCTGGGGGCAATCGCTGACGGGCCGCGCGGCCCAGGGCAAATGGCTTGGGCCAAAATGGCTACGGGGACGAGAAGGACGAGGCGGAGGAGGAGGAGGAGGAGGAGGAGGAGGGCGAGGAGGAAGAGGAGGGACGAGAAGGGAGGAGGAGGGAGGGGCGGAAGCGGAGGATTAGAAGGAGGAGGAGGGACGAGAAGGGAGGAGGAGGGAGGCGAATGGAGGCGAAGGAGAAGGAGGAGGAGGAGGAGGAGGAGGGACTCTGACAAGCAAGTGAAGGGCGCATCAAGGAAGGAGCATGGCAACCCCCGAGGAATAATCCAGAAGCTTGCAGGGACACAGCGATGGCGAGGCCACAGGGGCTTGGCAGAACCGCACCACGGAGGAGGAGGAGGAGGAGGAGGAGGAGCAGGAGGGGAAGGAGGAGGAAGAGGAGGATGTGAAGGATGAGGGGGGGGGTCCTCGATTTTGGACCTCGCTTTCGAGCAGCACGAGGCGCATCAGGCCTCGGGGCGCCCTGGATCAGCCCGCGGCGCGCAGCGGGCAGACAACGGCGGCGACGGCCGGAGACAAAGCAGACAGGACGGAGGCGCCGGGCCCCCCCTCACCCTCGCCCGCTGCTCCTGCAGACGCGGCCCCCGCCGCCCGCGAAGCGCGCAGGGAGGGCTCCCCCCCTGAGCACTGAGCTCTGCGGACTTGTCTGCGCATCAAAGCTGCTCCCGCTCCTTCCCCATCCCCTTCCCCTTCCTGCTCCCTCGCCTCCTCCTCCTCCTCCTCCTCCTCCGCCTCCTCCTTCTCCTCCTCCTCCTCATCCTCCTCCTCCTCCTCCTCCTCTTCCTCCCCCTGCTCCTCCTCCTCCTCCACCTTCTCCTCCACCTCTTCCTCCTCCTCCCTCCTCCTCCATCATCATCATTACCACCACCACCACCACCAACCACCACCATCATCATCATCATCATCATCATCAGCAGCAGCAGCAGCATCATCATCATCATCATCATCATCATCATCATCATCATCATCATCAGCAGCAGCAGCAGCAGCATCATCATCAACAACCACATCATCATCATCATCATCATCATCATCATCATCATCATCATCATCATCATCATCATCATCATCATCATCATCATCATCATCATCATCCCTCCGTCTGATCCTCCTCCTCCCTCCTCCTCCTCCTTCTCCTCCTCCACCCCTTCTCCGTCTGAATAATTCCTCCCTGTCTAACCCCCAGACGTGTCTACAGGGCTGGCCCGGCGTTTCGCCTGAGACGTGCTCGCCACTTATGATCCTGATGCTTGCCACTTGCAACAGCTTCATGCATAGAGGGCAATTCCTTTTCAAAATGTGGACCTCGCCTTGGCACCGCGCCCGTTCGTCTTCAAAGTCTGCAACAACTCACAGGACGGAGAGCGGTACCTTTTTTTAAAAAATGTGGGTCTGCAATATCGCCGCGCACATTCGCCCTAAAAGTTGCAACATCTTCACGGATGGAGG